AACAGATCCGATATTCTGTAAGTCTGTTTGCTTGGACATTACTTTCATCCAAGGCAATGGCCGATGCAGCACCTCAGCAGGAAACATTAGGACCTAAATAAATTATCTTAATGACCAAAGCACAGCTTGTCTGAAAGCAAATCTGTCCCTTTCAGCTCCCCGCACTGGGCTCTCGGAGTGGTGTCCTGGTAGTTCAGGAACAGTTGCCACCTGGAGAGGCTTCAAGATCCCCAGTTCAAGCCGCCAGGTTCCTGATCTAATCACTTAAAGATGCTCCCTGGGCTGTGCAAGCATTATACTGCATCTTAGGGGATTGGTTAAAGGCAGGCAACATTCTGCTGCACAACTGAAACAAAAAAAACATTATTAATAATTGTTTACAAGATATTGTCAGGATGATGAGTCATTTAGCCAAAGGAAGATCTGGCTGGCTTTACCAAGGTCCTGCCTGTGTCTGAGAAGGAGAAGAGCAGAAAGAATAGTCTACTGGTCAAAGTCTCGAAAAGGTCAGGATTACAGTAGGAAATTAAGGTTGACCTAAAGATACGGCTCAAGCTCCCAGATATTGATTACCTCAAGGCATGGTCCAGTCTTTTTCACAGATTGTTTTAGCTAAATTGACTATACCTTGGAAAGCTGGATGCAAGCTGTCATTTGAGAGAGTTACCAATGCATGATGCAAACTTGGAAATACCCGTTGGCATAGGATGAAGAGGCTTCCCTTTCCAAGCAGTCTGGAAGCTAATAACCGTAACTGGGCTGATAGGAAGGATGTCATTGTAGCAGGAAAACTGGGAGAGTCCTCATAGGGGGCATCCTGCTAGAGATGAGCTGTCATCTTAGTCATGCGCAGACCTTTTCCTGATTAAATCATTAATTTGATTTACAACTAAATACCAAAAAAAAAACCCAGAAAACATTAAGCATACAGTAACTCCCTGGTTTGTTTTATAAAAACAACACCTAAAATAAATTTTTACAATGTATGACGTCCTACTTTCTGTATATCTTCCTCCAGCTGAACAATAACATGAGTACATGTCAGTCTTTGGAAAACCTTTCATTTTATTCCTTGAAATTAGATTGTATCAATAGTTGTTAAGGGCAAATTTTGCAAGAAATAACAAAAAAAGCAAAGTTCACACACACATTTACTCTGAAGTTCATTTCTGGATATGGAGTAAATGTATCATTTTGAAACTTCACGATGGGAAAAGGCGGGAATAAGTGGAAAACAAAGTTCCTAAAAAGAAACCTTTTGGGATTTGCAACAAGGACTTTATTGGTGTGAGGCAACAGCAACAGCTGTGAGGCAAGAGCAACGGCCTATGTACCACTTTGCACTGTCAGCCGGAGGGTCCCAAGAGGGCATCAACTTATGGGGGTCAGGTTAACAGATGTGCAGCTGCACAGAGAGTGAGAAATATATTTATACATACATTAGACATTGCCTTAGACATTAGAAGAGACCATAAGAGGTAATTGCTTCCCTCTCCAGGTACTTTTCAGCACAATTTCAAGAGATTCAGAATAATTTAATGCCAGAAATAAATACTAAAATGAATTTAATTAACCTCTTCTTTCAAGAATAAAAAGAACACAGAATTTCTGGTTAACCCATTTTTACCCAGTGTTCTCTTTTGATAAATTCTGACTGATTATTGTTTTAAGCTGTTTGAATCCAATTGAGAAAAAACATAAAGTATTAAAAACCTTGATATAAAGTGCTCTTTACTGAATAATTAATAAATATCAGTTGACTGATGTAATTAAGGAAATAGCATGTCGACATATGTGTTGTTGGCCTACTAGTTATGACAGCTGAGAAACAAGTTCCATCAAATGCAGAACACAAAATTGACAAACAACATCATCATCAACAAAATCACAGAATTTTGGAAAGACTGTACTAACATCAATGACCAATGTTCTCCAGCCATTTTCCCCCAGACGAGCAACATTCCAGTCCTCGTTCTCCATAAGCAATTCAGCTGACATCACAAGAATCTCTGACTTCGCCATCACACCTCATGAGTTTCCCCTCTTACATGTCTTGCTTTCCTATTTTCAGAAGACTATGGTTATCACTGCAGCTGGTGCACAGTTACCTATCACATTTTTTCCCTCCACCTAATCTTCCATTGATATGCTTTGGTACAGCCCTGTGTAAACAAGCAGCTTCTGCTAAATAAACCTAAGTAAAAAAAAGTTGCCTCCCTTACTAAATCATTTGTAAGCTGTACTTAAGCACATTTTATGGTTCATTTTCAAAAACCACACCCAGGCCTGGTTATTAACAGACCTGCCTGCATTATAGTGGTGTTAGTGTGATTGTCATGGGCTGCTTTACTTCTGTAGGACCTAATGTAATAGATGGAACCAACGTTTGCTCTGAAGGAGAGTAATATTTCATTAGTTTGTGAAGCCAACTTGAAGTCAGACTTGATCTACAGCTATGGTGTCCTAAGCCTTTGCACTATAGATATTTTGTAGCACTCTAAGCAGCACATTAAACATATATATTGTTTGTTTAAAAGCAGTTTTAGGTGTTTTCCTTGACAAAGAAAAGAGGATAAGTGGTCTAAACTTTGGATTGGAATGGTTTCTAATTTATTGGTCTAGGAAATCTTTTTAGACATTTTGTACAACAAGTATGATCTGAACCAGCAGTGTTTAGATGTTTCCCTCCATCAAGCTTTTGCTTAACATAAATGATCATATTTTATACATGTGGTCCAAGGTTTAACACATTAATTCAGAAATGCTACTGGTTGAAACAATTTGAGCTGCTGTCATCTTCACTGCATCTCCCCTCTATCATCAAACCAGTTTAGCCATTTTCCTTTGACCTCAATGGAGTATTTTCTTTCACAAAACAGCGGCTAAATTTAGCTGGTCTGCAGACAATAACAACTATACCACAATCAAAGTGCAATTTCTTCTTCTTCAAAATATCAAGTCCTGTTAATGCATTTAAATGCCTAACTACACTGAATTGATACCATCTCATTGGTCCCTTGTAATAACAACAGACCAATTTGCCTTGTCAACCAATAAAGTATATGTTTGACAACTTATAGCTAAGAACTAATAAAAGGGAATTTAGCTTGTGATTTGTAAAACATGCCATGCAAGTTATAATGCTAGTATAAGCATGGATTTAAAGTAAACAATGTAATTATTTCAGTCTATATCTGACTAGTCCATAGTCAGTCCCAGAGGCAGGTGTCCTTCAGGTTTTTGAGGTTTTAGCACAGGCCCAGTTTATTCTGATTATTGCTGTTCAACAAAAGCTTGTTAATCAGCTATCAATGGAAATCAGCTGAGCTAAAAAAGGGAAAAGTCTTAAACCTGCAGGACGGCGGCCCTTTAGGACTGACTATGGACATGCCTGGTTCTATATCGCTTTTAAAACAGAAGCTTGGGGGTTGTCTGCTAAAAGAAGTTATAAAAAAAAGGGATAAGTTAAACAGAACTGTGCTGCTATTCTCTCTTTTATGCTCAATGTAGCATGGAGGTTTTAAGACCGAAGGTTTCTGGCCAGATTTTTTTTTTCTTTTTTTTTTTTTGTAAAATTGCCTTTTTTGTCATGGTGTTCACTAATGTGCATCAGCTTGTTTCTTGTGCTTCTTTGGAGTGCATCGACCCAAATGCACCCAAAGCATAATTATGTTGATCTTTTTCGAGTACTATGTTAGTTTACATCATGTGAAAAATGCACAAGAGGTAAACTCACTAAATGCACTCACTTCTGTTTTGTCAATCAAATGGAAAACAATGGAGGGCTAAAGAAAATTGCATCATTTTATATATATATATATATATATATATATATTAGGGATGGAACCCTAATATACCGTCGAACCGTTCGGTTCGACTGTCTCGGTTTGGTTCGCGTGTGTTGCGTTCGGTTCATGCACTGCTCCTTTTTCTCATGGGGCGAAGCGTGCTCACTCCAGAGCAGAAGGTGGCGGTACTGCGACCAAAGCCAACCACCAGTAGTAAACAAGAAGAAGAAGCGAAGCAGCGTAGATGGGTGTAGCAGAAAATAATCAGTTGTTGTGGAGAATTGTGTGGGTATGGCGAGTGGGAAAGAACAGGAGTTGGAAGACGCGCCAGCAGCACTTTATAGGTCTGCTGTATGGGACCACTTGGCATTTAGAATGAACTACGATGACGGCGGAAAGAAAGTTGTGGATAAAAGTGCAACAGTGTGCAAGCATTGTGCAACATGTTTTGTTTATGCTAACAGCAACATGACCAACATGTCAGGCTAACCCCGACATCCCACATGCTCTGTCAGCGCTCAGCTCCGCTGCGCTCCAGACCGCCTGCACAAAGCAAAGCCTACAGCCTCCGCTGTGGCTTCCTTCCGCTCCGCTTCGCTCCGAGTTCCTTGGAGATCGTAGAGGGCATGCGCAAGATGATTAAATTCAAAGCAGCAAAACATGCGGAAATGATCCATGGTTTCCGCGGATCATTAAAAATAATTACAATTCATTAATTTTGGGGGATTTTTTTCATTAATTTTTATTTTTTCATTAATATTTATAATTTTTTATAAGTTTTCTTATTTTTCGGTGTAACAATAAACATATACCGAACCGAAAACCGTGACCACGAAACCGTGAACCGAACCCCGTGGACCGTTCCACCCCTAATATATATATATATATATATATATATATATATATATATATATTATATACATATATATATATTTTTCTTCGTTAAGTTCAAGAAGAGATACAAGTATTTTCGTGTTTAAAGAATAAGCAGAATTAAAAGGTATATATATTTATTTATTTATTTTTATATGGCATGAGCCTCTGCTTGGCCCGGATGTGGAGGAACCAGCATCCCTTCACCTCTCCACGTTTCCAAGTAGCAGAGCCCATTGACATGGTAGCAGCCAGCGGGGAGCTTCATCCCCCACTTCACATCCATTGGTGAGCGGGCCCGCCTATCAGAGCTAACCGGGTTCCGGGGTATTCCCTCTGCAGGAAGTGGTTCTCTTTACGCAGTCCTCCATTGGACCGAGCCGCTGTCAGTCGGGGCTGCCTCACGTTGAGCCCTGTCCTCCTCCCCGGCTCCGTGTCTGCTCAGACAGCCCTCATATTGGATGCTCCAGGCAGGGAAGAGGAGCCCCACCATGATGAGGACCTGGCTGTCGCGGCGTTTAAAAAAATCAGTTTAGCTTTTAATCACTCTACCTAGTGTTTTTGGAGATATATTTATTTTAAAATACATCCGGGATGATACCATCAAGTAACTGTTGTAGTTCTGCGCTTTCGTCCGACGCCGTGGTCCTCTGGGGGGATCTATGCCCGACTTTTCTTCATAGCCATTTTTTTCAGACAAAGAGAGCCGTTGAGTAGGGCTTCCAGAAAGCACCCCGGTAAGATCCACATTCAAGAAGCCACTCGCATGTCCATAATTCTACTATCGTTTCACCAACAACCGAAAGGCCGCACTACACTAACTGGTTTTATTTTTACATTTTTTTCTGTCGTTGGTTGTCATAAGCTAGTATGCTAACCCTGCTAGCTAAAGCTAACTGAAATGTTAAATTCCTATTCTAAAAATGCTAGCTGTTAGCATTTTGCCGCTAACTTTATTACAGTTTTAGCCGAAAATAGGTAATTTTAAATCTTATGGGGCCTTCGTTTGAGACACCCAGGCCAGTTGGACAAATATAAGGGCCGATAATGTTATCTTGGGTGTGTAGCTACAATCTGCGGTGTGCTGGGACTGTTGTCGGTCGACAACGGGCTTAGCAGCTCTGCTAACTTGGCAGCGACAAGGGGGAAAATGGGGCCTCCAGAAAGCCAAAGGCCTCCATACAATTTCTGTACACCCGCTATTATCGTATAATTGCTTTGCTGATGCCTTTTTACTAACATCCAGGTGATTTATATAGCACCAATTCACAATCAAACATATTTCTAGGCACTTTAAAGAGGCATGATTTGGAGTTAGATTCAGTCTGATTTTGTGAGTTATTTTAATCCAGTCTTGTTTGATACAGATACGGCCATTGGTATTAAACCATCAGTTATTCCTTACAGTGGCAGTGAGTAAGAAGTGCAAATGCAGTAGTTAATTTGGGAAGAGGGGGTCATCCAATCGGGCATCCAGTGCTTTCTGTATTAGATGGCACAAAAAGATTGTTTTATATCTTAGAATTTCATAATCTATTGGTAGATTTAAATAACAATTCCGTATTCCAAAAATATCTGCCTTAAAGCTATGAATATCCATCCACAATGTGGAAAATGAAGCCTGTAAAATAAATATACCTTCAAATTGTGGAAGCTTGTGTAATAAGATTGCAGTTTTAAATATAAAATAGGTCTTACATCAGTTGAGTCACTTTTCTGGTGATCCAACAGAATCATGAGTTTGGTTTTTAGTGTCTTGCTCATAGCACCTGTATTGCTGAGGTTTGTAACTAAGTATTGCCTAAAACCATCTTATTGTGTCCTGATTTTGATATACTTTCATATTTTAGACCAATATTGGTTTTGATAACCCTAAAATAACTTTAGGCGCCACACTAATCTTGTACTGATGTAGTCATGCACAATGTTGATTCTGCAGCTAATTGCATAATACCGGTATGCTGATGTGGACTGCTGCAGATTGCAGGCAGGGGGCGATCTTTATGCTTTGCAATTTTACAAAAAAAAAATACTTTTAAATAAAGTGTTGAATATGCCTTAATATATATGCACCTTTCTAATTGTGTTGAAGGGGCTTTCAACTAATCGCACTGACAAATACGCACACGTTCATTCTTTACTTTCACATGGCTAGGCTGAAGACTTGAGTTTTAGTCGTTGATCGCTGATCAGGATGGAAAAGGTGTAAAATGAATAACTAATACAATTGAATTGCAGGGCAAAACCATCTTTTGGTGGGATTTAGATAGGCTCTGATCAATGATTGGGTGGCCAGTTGTGGGAATTTATATTTATTTGTGCTTAGATGCATCAAGACTTAAGAACTTCAATAATTTTTGCTTTATAAATGCATATACCAACAATATTTATTTTCTTTTTACCTTTGAAGTAATTAATTCTCTATTCGGCCAAAAGCATCCTCCACTTGGGAAGCATCAGAATATTTTTATATATATATAAATGTAGAAAACCAAGTATTAATATCAGTCAGAATATCAATACAGCTTTAGAACCTGTATGGTTGACAAACCCAGCAACTAACATTAACTAATTATTTGCATACTATCACTGTAACTAATTAGTTTAGAAAATTCAATAACACTATACTCATAACCACGCTTTAAACAAATTTATTATTTGTAACTTCCATGTATAAATAAGGAATACAGTTTCCTTGTATAAGCGCACGTTGAGCGATGCGCAACTTCAGCAGGAGCACAGATGAAAGAGCCACTCATTCAGTGACGGCATTCCTACAAAAGAAGTGCTACTGAAGGCTAAATGCTTGTGATCTGCTCATTATGTGCAGGAACAAAAATTTTATAAACGTCAGTTTGAAGCTGTAATTTAAAGAAGCTCCTCCCATTATCTCAACACTGATAGCTGCTGCCTTTAACCAACACACGTTCTTTACTTTCTCTGGGCTATAATGATTTTATTTGCGTGGTTTGTTTCCTACCGCAAAAATTCAGAGATCATACAGTTCTGCTAGTGTTTTTATTTTTCTAAAATAGTGTATGCCTGTTTACTCTATTGCAGAAGATATTTTGTTTTTATTAAATTGCTTAAAAAGCACTACTTTGCAGCTTGATACCTATTTTATAGTAAATTGAAGGCTCTCGGTGGCAAAAATATAAAGTTCTAAAACAATTTTTTATTTTATTATAAACAAGTAACATCACATCTACATAATATTGCAACGCACTTGTCAAACCCACACTAACAAAAATAATACAGCTTAGTTTTCGCTTGTGTATACATTGAAAATAATTAATAACAATGTATATTCCATAATCAAAGCTCTAGTTGTAATTAAAATTCCAATAATAAAGTTTTCTAAATCCTTCGACATTTTAAAACAAACAAAAAAAAAGCCTCTTAGTTTTTTTGTTTTTTTTCGAAAAGAAAAATTCTCACCGCATTTGAAAAGTATTCTTTGGTGTAATCCCTCATTAATGAAAATCTAGCAACTGTTGAGAAGACAAACTTTTTAATTTGAACGAGTCTCCACTAGAATAATCCTAAAGCCAATTGGAATGGCTGGGTTTAGGGAATAGTAAAGAGACAAACAAGCTCCAGGCTAGTTTTAGGGTCATTAAAGCCTGGCCTATAATGCGCAGCATTCATATGGCATATATTTTAACACCGTCAAACTATAGGGGTTTGCAACTGCTGGGACAGCTTGGTGTGCAAAAAAATGGTACACAAGGAACGGCTTGTTTACCACATTTAGACATCTTATGATTTAGTTAATTAACATTACAATGATGATAAGATTGTTAAAGACTTTATATTGTTAAATAAATTGCTGTGACTCAGGCTTATAGCTAATATAATAAATTAGCTAATACTTCATAGGGTGTATCACGTCTTTAGGGAGTCTGGGAGTATCCTCCCCCAGAAAATGTTGAAGTGTAGACTCTCTGAAACACTATTTTCTACATTCTGAGGTGGAATGCAGCTTAAGAGCATCTTCACTCCTGAGGCGTGTAAACTATGTACAGATGTTTTTGATGCTTGTGGTGCTCCTGTGTTTACTGGCAGATAGTGACTGTGCTATGTTGCTCTGATAATTGGGTAAAAAGTAGTTTTAATATATATTTTTGTCATGTTAGAATGTCCAAGTAAAACATTGTGCAGTCAGTTCATTAGGATTATGTTCCTGGCATAAAGTATTATTTCGCTGGCAGATGTGCGCTGTCCCCCACCGGCAGTGTGCTGTCAATGGGAATCCCCCGCAGTAGCTGCCTCAGGCCAGGTTGCCTCTTGGTTTTTTTTCCCCCCTCTACTGTCTGCAAGCACCAGAATATTAGCGAACAAATTTTGCTAGCAGGTTTTTGGATTTTTAGTTAACAGGGCATCAATAAGCAGTTTCAGTGGAGTGAACTTGGCACTTTGCATCAGGAGCGCTGTAGGTCCCCCTGTCAGCTCGCAGATCAGCTTCTCTGGTTGGTTGATGTGGCACGTCAAGCAGCAAAAATTTCCAACTCTAGCGTCTACAGCTTAGGAAATTTTGAACATTTGAGCAAAGTTTCTGGGGGAAAATTAGGGTGTACCAAAGCCATACATCCACAAAACAGGGTGTACATTTTAGAGCGTACAATATACTCCCATATGCAATGCTAGCTAAAAGCCTGCTGTGACTCTTGAAGGACGCAGTCGTTTTGAAAACGTCAGTTGTTAGCTTTGGTCTGTGACTATACACCCACCTTGAGTCAGCTGGAATATTGGAAAGGGGAAAAGCTGCATCAAGTATAAAAGCTTCAGACGTGTCCACCTGACAATACTATGTGCCTCTTGCATGATTTGGCATCTTCAGGTCGAACCTCTGTGGCAGCCATATTAGCCGGTTGACATTGTGAATTTTTTTTTATTTCTTAAGTATTGAGAAAGATGCTCAAATGAACAAATCTACAATTTTATTTGATGCCATTGTGTTTTGCTTTTATTTTGCATCCTATCCCTAGTGATTTTGATAATTTTTTACTTTGTCAGTATATTAAGGGGGGTTTGATTCCTAATCGAAACGAAATGTCCAAAAAGATTTTAAACAGCTTTTTCTGTATACTGGATTGTTTAAAGATTTTGGATTACCTCCATAGGTATCTCAAATGAGGTACTTAAGGACCCAAATGTTTATGACTGAATGATATTTTCATAAGGACCTAAACAGGATTCCTTTTGAGTACCACGAACAAGATGGGTTAGAGAAACATTAAGTTGTAGTTCTTTGATAGGTACCTCAAGTATAAAAATTGGAATCTGGTTTCAAAGGAAGGTTTGGTCGAAAAAACAAAGTTTTTGGAAATTATTTAAAAATGTGTCAAAGATGGGATTGGATGACATGAACTGCTGGCAATTTTAGAACTTGCACCTAAAAATGTGGAAGAAATGAATTGGAATTAAATGTTGGCATGTAGTATGATTCCTTTGCTCTTCAAATGTTTGTGTGTTTATATTTAATTGCCATCCAAGGCATTAATCTATCTTGAAGAACACTTATAATTTAATGCATCCTTGTTTTTAATGGGATTTCAGGGGTTTATATAATAAAACCAGACTTTTGATAAGTTGATTGCAGATTCATTACTGCTCTCTACTGTCTTGAATGTCTAATATAAATGTAAAGCTGCTGCAAATCTCTAATTGACTCTGTTCTGGTATGAGCAGGGAAGGCATTTTCTACCCAAATCCTGTCTAAGATCACAGTGTTCCC